ACGCCGCAGTAGGATTACCGAGAAAGGTAATAGTTGAGAGAATTTATCTTCCTGTTTGCAGGGAACGTCTCGTGGTTTCTGTATGCTTTAAGACTGATATGGCAATGATCGTGCAGCTCACAATAGCTGACGTGGGTGTCTGGGAAGCAAGGCACTGTTCTCGAAGATGTTCTACCCAGGCGTATATCCCTCCCTCATCTAGAAAAGTGAACGTTGGGAGTCCCCTTTACGTGAGTGGTGATTGCTGGTGTTCATTAGATTATTGTTCATGGCTGTTCGCCTTTTTCCTGGGTGTGTTGTAGATGCATAAAGGACATCCTGCATATCTCTCGGTAAATCTATGAGGGGATACAACAAGATCATCAATTGCACTTTTTGAAGGTTTAATCCTTTCATAGAATAGCTAACATTCTTGGTAGCTGTATTATATTTTCTAAAACAACCGTTTTTGTCGGCAATTGTTCAAAAACAAGGATATCTAGCCGGTGTCCACTGCAGTTGGCAATGTCGGAAAATGACGGGGGTTCTTTCAATTTCAAATAATATTTGTTTTTCAATGAGACCCTGTTGGGTAAACCACAATGCACACGAGTGGATAAAACATGGACCTATTTCCTCAATGAGCTTGGCTTAATGGCTGGTTTTGTGACACAAGTTAGGTCGATCTGCACCTGCACTATACAACATCATGCTCTTCTGATGTACGGAGTATAATAGGCTCTGATCCCTAGCTTGAGGATGATTATCAAGACGTGCAACTGATTCTTGACCAAAGACTACATTCTGGTTAGAAATAATATACAGATTACTGGGTGAGATTCGGGAATATACTATTCCTTTTTCCCAGTCCTGAATTCTCCTTCCTATTAGATTGTTACGTATTCTAGAGTTCAGAGATATCTATAAATCCACTAATTAACGAATAGAGAATACACAATCAGCCTCGTCCTTCGATGTGGGGCTCATGTGATGCCTGGTAGTATACGGTGGACTAAACGCAGACCCTCGTTGTGTTGTCGCCAGAAGATATATCGGCCAATATTAATATGAAAATTGATACACAAACTCTACGAAACGGTCTACCGCTCAGGCCTCTATCTGAAAAGTCATTTTATCCCAATGCCAACTATACAAGTCCAGAAAAGTTCGGGAAAGCGTAAGCGCCCGATTTAATGTTTCCGTATAGGCAAGGAGGGTTGGCGCTTATGGTCGTCGCGCTAACTCTTCTGCTAACCGTTGCTGCAATCCCTCAAAATCCGTTCACACGTCTAGCATGCTACCACGTGGGGCAGGCTCCCTAAGCGCACCAAAGGTTGAGCCATCAATGAGACATCCACATACTACATGCTAGTCGCTTTGCGATCCGGTGAACAGCGGGATTTCTGCTTACAATAACGTCGAATATTCATCTTCCCGGGAAATGGGTCTGGGATTGCTTGAGGGGAAGTAGATAACGCGAAGCCTGAGCGAAAAAAAGAGGATCGAGATGCTGGTGTCAAATTCAACACTCTCGCAACTGAGTCACAACAATTCGATAATCTGGTACTCAGCAACCCCTAACGGTAGACAAAGTACCTTAATCCCATGGATTATTTCGCAATGACTGGACAAGTCGATACCAAACCTAAAAGTCACAGTGAATATGCTGTGGGATGGATTTGCGCGTTACCCAAGGAACAGACCGCGGCAACGGCCATGCTGGACCAGAAACATCCAGATCTCCCCCTGCCACCTAACGACCACAACATATACACTCTAGGCTCCATCGGCAAGCACAACGTCGTTATAGTATGTCTGCCAAAAGGTAGGTACGGCACTAACTCAGCCGCGACTGTCGCTACTCAGATGGTACGGACATTCCCATCCATTAAAATCGGCCTCATGGTTGGCATCGGCGGTGGTATCCCACCCAAGGTCCGACTTGGTGATGTAGTGGTTAGCACACCCGTGGGTGGATTTCCAGGTGTAGTCCAGTGGGACATGGGCAAGACAAAGGACGGCAGCTTCGAGCGGACCGGGTGGCTGAATAATCCACCAACCTCGCTCCTCACTGCCTTGACGAAGCTGGAGACGGAACATGACTTGGAAGGGACGAAAATACCGGAGTTCCTGGACGAACTAAAGCGGAAATGGCCAAGACTGGCACCGAAGTATTTAAAATGTGATTCATTCGAGGACCCTTGGCATGCACATGACATACATCATAAGCGGAGCAGATGGCAGGTCATATCAACTCTCTGGGAGATGATCCTGATACTTTTTACATATCTGTTAGGCTGGCGAGTCTTTACTCCTATGAATCATGAGGCCAAGCAAGTGACAAGCAACGCATCGAACACTGTAGGTGAAGAGGGCCGAAACAAGCCTGAAGATATCCGCGTGCACTATGGCCTGATTGCATCGGGCAATCAAGTGATCAAGGACGCTACATTGCGAGATAAGCTCGACCGTGAGTTTGGTAGTCACGTTCTTTGTGTTGAAATGGAAGCAGCGGGACTAATGAACAACTTCCCATGCATTGTCATTCGAGGAATCTGCGATTATGCAGACTCTCACAAGAACAAGGAATGGCAGGAATATGCTGCAACTGTAGCCGCGGCGTTTACAAAGGAGCTGCTAGAGTATGTACAACCATCGGATGTTGATGAAGAACGTCCAGTAAAGGAGTACCTTGGACAAAGTCAGTGATTCTCAACCTATTTTGTCGGGTAAAGGTTGGGCTTCTAATAGAATTACAGTCCTCGACACTGTATCCAGGAATGAAGTCGATATTAAAGTGGTAAGATCCAAACTGGACAAGAAGGAGGATAGGAACATTCTTAACTGGCTTACACCAATCGACTATGGTCCTCAACAAAGTGATATCTTCAGGAGGCGACAACCTGGAACTGGTCAATGGCTTCTATACTCGGCAGAATTCCAGAAATGGCTCAGTACAAGCCACCAAACTTTGTTTTGCCCAGGTATTCCTGGAGCAGGGAAGACGATCCTCACATCTGTAGTGACCAACACTCTTACCGATTTCTATTCCCAAGATCCAACTGTTGGAATCGCATATATATATTGCAACTTCCAGCGGAAGGACGAACAGAATATTGACCACTTGCTTGCAAGCCTGCTGAAACAGCTAGCTGAAGGCTGCCTTTCCTTACCGGAGAGTGTGAAAGACATATTTAATCGCAACAAGGCCCAGAAAACGCGGCCATCACTAGAAGACATATTAAGTACTCTCCACTCCATTGCTGCAAAATACTCGAGGGTATTCATTATTGTTGATGCGCTTGATGAATGTCAAACGTCCGAAGGCTGTCGGATGAAATTTCTCTCCGAAATATTACGTCTCCAAGAGAAACATGGAGCAAATATATTCGCAACCTCTCGAATAGACGATGATATTGGGAAGACATTTTCCAACGCTATAAGTCTAAAAATATATGCAAGAGATAACGATATAGAGATGTATTTGGATGAGAGGATGCGACTCCAAAACTCAGATATCTTCGACGACACCATTAAAAGCACAATCAAGAGAGATGTTGTCAAGGGAACTGGTGGGATGTAAGCCACGTGTCTCACAATTACCACCACTCTACACTTGGTTAACGTCTAATATAGGTTTCTACTGGCAGAGCTACACATGAATTCACTATTATCGCTACCAACGAGAGGGCATGTTAAAGATGCCCTGCAGAATCTTGCCAAGGGAATAGAGAAGCTAGACGAAACTTATGAGCAGGCCATGAAGAGAATTGAGGACCACGGAAAAGAAAGTCGAGACTTAGCCAAACGAATTCTGGCATGGATTGTCTATGCGAGACGGCCTCTTTTCACTTTAGAACTTCAGCATGCCCTTGCGATTAGGCCGCATTCTCTGGACCTGGACGAAGACTACCTTCCGAGCATTAATCTCCTGCGATCTCTGTGTGTTGGGCTAGTCGCCATCGATGATGAAAGTGGCATCATCCGATTGGTCCACTACACCACGCAAGAATATTTCCAAAGGACACAACAGCGGTGGTTCTTGAGTGGGGAGTCAGAAATTACAAGATCCTGCATCACATACCTATCATTGAATGCCTTTCAGAGCGGGCCTTGTGACACATACGAAGAAATCGAAAAGCGGTTGCGGTCATATCCACTCTATTACTATGCCGCACAATGCTGGGGACATCATGCTCGTGAAGCTTTGACTCTATGCCCTGAAGTTATCGAATTTCTAAGTTGTGGCATGAAGTTAGAAGCTTCGACCCAGGCATTAATGATTCCCGAATTATCGCAGTGGCATATTGAACATTATTACCATAGTTTTCCAAGGGGAGTGACGGGACTTCACTTAGCAGCATATTTTGGGATCGAAGAAGCGGTTAAGACTCTTCTCCAAAAACAAGCCAAACCCGACGCAAGTGACAGCTATGATCGAACTCCGTTATCATATGCTTCACAGAATGGGCACAGCACTATCACCAAGCTGTTCCTTGAACGAGGTGTCGATGCAGACTCGCTGGGGATCAATGGGCTAACACCGCTGTTGTTGGCTTTGTTATACGGGCACACTGCAATAGCGGAGCAACTACTAGTGACGGAAAGAACTAACCCGGACTCCAAGGACAACAGTGGGCGAACACCTCTACTAATAGCAGCACGAGGGGGGCATAAGTCAATAGTGGGGCAACTACTAGCGACGGGAAGAGTTAACCCGGACTCCAAGGACAACAGTGGACGAACACCTTTACTAGTAGCAGCACGAGGCGGGCATAGCGCAATAGTGGAGCAACTACTCACGATGGGAAGAGTTAACCCAGACTCCAAGGACAACAGGGGGGGGACACCTCTATCATTTGCAGCATCAAATGGGCACACTGCAATAGTAGAGCATCTACTAGCAACGGGAAGAGTTGACCTGAACTCCAAGGACCGCAAGGGGCGAACGCCTCTATTATTGGCAGCATGGGCGGGACATAGATCAGTTGTGGAGCAGCTCGTGGCGACGAATAGAGTTAACTTGGACTCCAAAGACTTTAAATTTGGACAGACGTCGCTTTCATTAGCTGCAGAAAATGGCCATGAGGCAGTCGTCGAGCTACTCCTCGAGAAGGGGGCTGACCTGGAGTCTAAAGACTCTGGATTCGGACAGACATCACTGTCGCTGGCTGCAGAGAACGGACATGAAGCAATAGTTAGGCTACTCCTCGAGAAGGGGGCTGACCTGGAGTGCAAGGACTCCAAGTACGGTCAGACGCCGCTATCGTTAGCTGCAGAAAATGGACATGAGGTGGTGGTGAAGCTGCTGCTCGGTATAGGGAAGGCAAAGCCCGATGTGAAAGATAACTGTGGCCGAACACCATTGTTCTATGCGACTAAATATGGCTATGGCTCGATAGTAACAACCATTCTTACCAGCAGCATCGTTGATCCGAGCCAGGAAGACTACTATGGTTCAACGCTCTTATCAATAGCAGTACGGAACTCTCACGCAGGGGTGGTAAAGATCCTGCTAGCTACTGAACTTGTTGCTTGTGACTCTCGAGATTGTCTTGGACGCACTGTACTTTGGTGGGCCAAAAGGAGTGGTAATGCTGGTATCGAAAAGATGATATTTGATTATGCAAAGAAGAGAGGAATATTACTGTGCGGTGAAGAAAATTGGGAGGTAACATCCAGATCGCATGATCCGACATCGAGATGGTGTGACGTATGTACCTTGAGCATTTCAGAAGACAGCGTCTACTATCGTTGCGGAATTTGCAACGGAGGGGATTTTGACATCTGTTCAGAGTGTTATGAGATTGGGGGGCGTTGTTTGCAACCTGATCATGCATCTACCCTGGTGAAGGTTTAATAATGTCATTCAGTGTATGATAGCCAGGTTTGCGAGGTTTTCGACAATTGAATAATGTGAGAGGGAGTGTACGGATATATTGGTAGTAGTAATAAAGAAATAGCAAAATGTTCTAAAGTACAAAATCTCGACGACCCCCTTAGGGCTACTATCAGACATGTTGCTATCTTATTTCAATACTCCATACTCCATATAGCGGGTCCCGGTATAGAATACCAAAATAAGTTTAGTGCATCATCAAAAGTCCGTGCACCCCTCAATCTGCGAAAAACCTCGAAGTATTCCCAAATACAACCCCAACAGAACAACCCCAACATCCAAAACACACCCCATGCCCCGCGTCCCCACAACCAGAGAGGTTGTGCCCGGTGCACCCGCCAACATCATCTTAAAAGCTGACCAACCAACCGGTCGCACCGTCTCGGGTACCATCGCTGACGTGCTCACCCGCGGAAACCATCCTCGGGGGATCAAAGTCCGGCTCACGGATGGCCGGGTAGGGAGAGTGCAATCCATGGGGACGGGGGGTTCTTGTCCTCCACCTGACCCAACACAGGGACAAAGGACAAGAAGGACTACTTCCGAAGCAGAGCTTCCATCGCAAAATATCGGTCTAGATGCGTATATGGTTAGTGCAAGACCGCGGCGGGGTGCACGTCGAGATGAACCTCAGCAACCCGTGCATGATGGTCCGGTGGTGACTTGTCCGGTGTGTGGGGTGTTTGAGGGAGATGAAACTGCTGTTGCGTATCATGTGGCAGGGCATTTTGCGGATTGAGATTCCGAGACTTTTGGGTTGAGTTATTTTTGAGATGGACTGTTAGGTTACGCTTTGGCTTTTTTTTTTTTTTGCATGCATTTCAATGTATGAACTCTGGCAATAACATGTTATAGATGGATTGATGTTACCGACCAACGGATTAGTATCAGTGTATTTACGTTGACCTGTTCTGTAATATGTATTGGACATTACACCATCAAAGTTTGACAAGTGCGTGAGGCGGTCACACAGCATATACAACACGTGCTGATCGTCACGGCATCGAGGATTCATGTGCTCTCCTCCAACGTTTCCGATAACCAACCCATATTGGTGGAAGACAAGCCACAGTCACCGCTAAAATACTGTTAGAATCGCCGTCTAACGAGAGGAGGACAACACTGACCAACCACACATTCCACATGGCTCCAGATTGCGAGCCAGCGCTATTCGCAAAGAAGCTTGTTAGCTTTAGAATCGCAGACTGCCAGGGATCATATAGAAACATGGTATAAGGGCACAGACTTGATTTATTGGGCCGAGGATATTGTTGCCTGCCCTCGAGGCATGGATTGCTCGGACAAGTGAAAATGCGATCTGATGAGCTTTGTCAGAGGCCAACCTCATCGCCAATAGTTCTGTAATAGATGGGTATAAGGAGAATGTTACAATTATCCATCCCAGCGCAAATATTACGACAAGACCCGCTTTCTGTTTTTTTGTTGCCGGGAGTTCGAAGAGGTGTCGAGTTGGGAGGATGACGACTGGGCGCCAATATGTCAGTTTAACACGGTCATCTTCACTCTATGGGCCTGTGCATACTCATAACGTCAGATAGCGTGTCTAAGGCTGTCGTGCCATAGAGCTTGCCTGGCTCCCTGGAGTTGCCGGAAACGCAGTTATCTGTGGTCGATCAACAAACTATTTATTTGACAAAGCTCAAGACGGTGAAATTTGTGTTACCATTGTCGACTGAGAAGTTAAGCCCGAAAGGCAGGCATCCGAAGAATTGTATAAGAAAACATCCGACGAGATTCATTACCGTGAAGCCGAGCACGATATACCAGCTTGATGAAAACGCGTTAGAAGACAAGATTTCATCAACACCGCAAGTCAAATGGTATTGTCGCAACGTACCCTTCCAGATAAACTGGGATTGGCATCATAATTGGCCGAAGAAAGAAAAGCATCGAAAACTTCACGCACCATACCGTAAGCCAAAAGATGATGAGGGAGGCCTAAATGCGTTGGCGGGCGTTAACTTGTAGGGGAAATTGTCTACAGAGCCAAGCTACATACAAAAGAGTATCGGAGCACCACTGCCACATTTTCTCTCAAAGCTGGACTTTCCGATAGAGCTTGCCCGAAATCCGTACTGTTTTGCGCTTCGTTAAACGCGTCGATATACGGTGAAACTGCGGCTGTGTGGATGGCTGTCTCAACCGACAGGAGCGCGAATGACGAAAAGGCGAAGTAATCGTCAACTTTCAGACGCTCACGAATTGAGATTCTCGAGGCAACGCGAAGGGCCATGAAAACCAGGGCAATCAGATAAAGGCCCCAGAACAGGACCTGCGCGAGGCAGAAGGATCAGCATTACAGTTCAATTGCGGTCAGGGGCGTTTCTACATAGTCTCGCCATTTCTCCATTCCCCGTCTCCCTTGGTGTTCTCAACAATTCCGCGTAAAATTATGCATCCGTGGAGAGTTGTGATTGCGACAGGGGAGCTGTACGATCTCCGTTCTCTTTCGGCTGATCATCTCCGAGATGCTGGGCAACGATAGGGTCTGCACGCATAGCGTGACAATTGGATTCATGTCTGGACTTCGAAGCGGCCAGTAGTAGCTCTTAAGTAAAATGAGGGGGAACACAATATCCGGGGAAGCTTTAAAACTAGTGGCTTACTATGATCGACATTATTCGCCGAATCAGAAAGATGGTTGAGAGATGCTGTCGATAATCGGGTTTAGGGGTGGCAAAGGCACATGATGACGCAGCCATCGTTCCTTCGGACCCATTCTCAAGCTCTCCATTTGCTACTTTGCTTTTTTCCTCAGGGTCAATCGATGTCTACCTGTCACTTTTATGGCCCCGAGTCATTCAGGGGATCTACCACTTACTCCGCTCGATGAGGATTCCCCTTCTCAGCGGCCGGCATTGTGAAATCATATCCCTCTTCACTGGCATGAAAGCATATCTCTCTTCTCACCTTCACCCCAAACAATGCGGTCGCTCAGGCAATCAATCTTCCTGTCTTCCACACGCAATTGAACTAGAACATGTAGATGAAGGCAATCGTAGAAGTTATGTTGCGCATCGCTTCCCTGCGTTCTACACACCGGTTTATTCTCGGAGGTTCGTCTATGGATGCGTCCTCTCAGCATCCATTGGAGGTATTCTCTTCGGCTACGACACCGGAATCATTTCAAGCGCTCTTGTCGTATTCCATAAAGATCTGGGCCATGATCTCAGCAGGGAGGAGAAGCAACTCTTGACTAGTCTTACCAGCGGTGGTGCTTTTGTCGGAGCATTGATCGCGGCTCTCACCACAGATGCTGTATGTTGCTTCCTTTAAGCCTTCAATTACCTTACCCCCAGCTTCATATATCCAGAAACAAAACCTAATTCTTCTTAACAGATCGGACGGAAAATGGTCATTGGACTGGGGTGCATCTGGTTCACCGTCGGCTCCGTCATCGCATCATCTGCATACTCAGTTGCCCTAATGTCCATCGCGCGATTCATCATCGGAGTAGGCATGGGCCTCGAAACCATGGTAATTAGAACACCTTATTCTATCCACATACCATCCTTAACACAAACCACAGGTAACTCCAATCTACATCTCCGAACTCTCCCCCTCCTCCCGCCGTGGCCGCATGATCACCGTCTACTCGCTAGCAGTAACAGGCGGCCAAGCCCTCGCCTACGCAATCGGTTCCATATTCAGTCTCGTCTCGCAAGGATGGCGCTACATGTTTGCCTTCGGCGCTATCCCAGCCCTAATCCAAGTCGCGCTGTTCCCCATCTATCCCGAAACCCCCCGACACCTCATCTACCGGAACCAAACCGCAGACGCGATAATGGTGCTCCAACAAATTTACCCACAAGCGCCTCCCTCCGACATCCAGACCCTCGTTCAAACGATCCAAGACGACGTCAACCGCTCCGTCTCCTTCGACCAGGGTATCCGACGCGCATACTGGTCCTGGAAACAGCTCCACACTGTCCCCTCACATCTCCGATCGCTCATCACAGCTTGCGGCCTCATGGCGCTGCAACAGCTCTCCGGCTTCAATTCGCTGATGTACTACTCCGCCACACTCTTCAATATAATGGGGTTCTCGAGGCCCATCGAAGCGGGTCTCATCGTCTCCGGAACGAATTTCCTCTTCACGGCTCTCTCGCTGAAATTCGTAGACTTGGGTCGTCGGCGCTTATTGATCGGCACTGTGTGGGGGTTACCGGTTGCGTTAGCGATGGCAGCGGGGGCGTTCTCGAAGATCAACATCGATGCGAACCTAGAGCTTATGGCGACCCCGCCGCTGTGGGCGAAAGTCCTTGCTATCGTTTCCTTTGCAGTATTCGTGGCGTTTTATGCGATCGCGTTGGGCAATGTGCCGTGGTTGGCTAACGAATTCCTGGCGCTGGAAGTCAGAGCCGTTGGGACGGCTATGTTAACTATGGTTTGTTGTACGTGGTTCCAGTTTTACTTGGTTGTTGTGTGGTGCCTTTTACACTAGGTACAGTGCGTGCCATGCTAACTTCTTAATGGATAGGGGGCTCGAATATTCTTGTGTCGGCTACTTTTCTTTCTCTTGTGAGCGCGATCTCGGCGTCCGGAGCGTTTGGGCTTTATGCTGGGGTTTGCTTCGTTGGGTGGGTGTTTATTATTTTCACGTATCCGGAAACGGCTGGGTTAGGGCTGGAGAGTGTGCGGCAGGTATTTGAGCATGGGTTTGGTGTTCGGTATGCGAATCAATTACAGAGGTTTCGGTGGATAGATGCGGAGTTATGAGCTCATCATTTCGATGTCGATGTACATAATATCATGCTAATGTAAAATTCTTTACGAGAGGCATTATTTGCCTTCTTTGAGAAACCTAGTGTTGCTATATCAGGCACGGTGTTCAACTCGTGATGATATGATAATTGACCGTGCGTGCCAGTATATGCCAAACATTGATACATGAAACTTCTCCAGTATCTAGCGTTCAATCATGATATGTGCCAATGACAAATTCCTTATAATTATCAACAAACGCCTACGTGAATATATGTCATTTCCTTTCCAATTGAGCCGGGGTGAGCGCAGCCATTCCTTTCAGTGAGTATGGCTACATCGACATGGGGGCTGATTTTTATGCAATAATCTCTGCGGTGGGTATCCATAGTCATACCGTCAGATGATATCAACAGGGGTGAGGTTCCAAGTTTGAGAGTAAATCCAAATTACTGAAGCTCTTTACCGCGCAAGGGATTCTGGCATCCAGAATCGACCGCTGTCAAGGACGCTATTCAAGTCGATATGGTCCATGGTTGGTCGCAAGCCAAGATCCATCACATCGCGCGCGACAGCCTTGATCTGGCGAACAATGGCCTGGGAGATGGCCCACGTACGGCCAAGAGATTTGAAGACCCCAATGGTGAGCGTGAGTCGGTCTCGACTTGGATCGGGCATTTGTCCGGCTTTCACGGAGCAGGCAGCCAGCTGCACAATAGAACTCATTACTAGAGCACAGATAAAGAAAGGGGTATGTTTCACGACTGGCATGCGAATAGATGCCAGCGAAGAAATTTCACTGGCCGCTTTCACGGCCTTCATCGCGTGTGCATGATGCGAGAACGCAGGGATGCTGCACGGGCCATGATGGCCACAGATGACTTCCGCAGCCATCGCCGGCGACGACAGCAGATCGGATCTTGGGAAGTGAAGGTAGATCGCCGCACCGTTGACGACCATGGTCGCCTGAAACATCATCTCATCTACCGAGCCATCCGAACGCAACAATTCGGATTTGGATTCCGGCAGGTGGTGGAACCAACTGGTGATCCGCGCGTCGATGGCCTCCACATGGTCCTGCTGGCCTTCCACCAGGTCTTGGATTGACACCACCCGCGAAAGGATACGAGCCGCTTCAATACGGTAAGTAAAGGAGGAGAAATCTCTCTCCTCATCGGCGAATACACGCTCATCGAACTGTGCAATCGTCGGGGCAGGTGGTGGCGCCAATCCATCCTGATATATACGCTCCTCACAAGGAAGCCCGACCTCAGGCACCACCAGCCCAGTGCGAGCAGTTCGCTGGAGTCCAAGTGCAGTCAGCATGTTCTCGATGATATACAGTTCCCACCACGTGCGCCTCAGGCTCTCCTCTCGCACCGGGTCACCCTCGCTCATCGTCGTTGCGTAGCTATGATTGTTTAGACCCAATTCAAAGGCTATATTCACAGCTGTGGCAAGACAGTCTCCAGCCTCGGGACGCTCGTTGCGCGAATGAAGTACAATGGCCAGGAGCAGAAGCGCCTGAAGCTTCTCTATACAGGATTCCTGCTCCATGACGGACGACATTACGTTGGGTCGGTAATTTTCGCTAGAGGCGGCCGGGGTAAAGTGTGATCCGATAAACTTGATGACATGGTCGAGGTAGGGTGGTACGTAGGAGCGATACAGATAACGAAGGGGAGGTAAAATCGGATGCGACGGGTGGAAATATGTGTAGTAAATATCGATTAAATAGCCATCACCGGGGACGGCGGACGAGGAGTCCGGAGTAAGCGGCTCGTTGTGTAATGGGACGGGTTGCGAGGTGCTGGACTTCTCGGTCAAACCGGGGCTTCCCGAGGATGGGGTCGTCAAGGTGGCGGTTGGCATGTACTGGAAACCGTTCTGCAGGCTATTCCAGTCGGCGGGAATGTTGACCAAGCCAACCGACTGGGGGTCGAAGGAGGCCGCCAGATCGTCGGCCGTTTCATCGAGGGACGGGTTGGCACGCCGTTTCTTTGACGGACCTTTGTACCCGCGCCGCGAAGGAGTATATTGGCACTCTGATCCGGTGGCCGCACAGCGGCCACACACAGGAGTGATCCCGTCACATTTAAGATGCTTATGCCGGCAAAGGAGACAGGCCAGGAGCGAAGGGCCAGCCTTCGGGGGCCCTGGGTTTTTAGTCGCGACAAATGGTTCGTTCATCGTGAAGAACTAGCTAGGAGCATGAATTGATCAAATTTGCTAGTTAAATCCCCATGTATGATTGAGGAATGGGATAAAAGGAAATCAATTAGCTCCAGAACCAATTGATGAATAATGAAAGAAGAGGTGACACTTTGTGTAATTGTGGCGTGAGGCGGGGAATCAATCACTTTTTTTTTTTTTTGTTGGGGATGGGAGAAGTGACCAACACACAAAGAGATGGGAAAAAGGGGCACGGGGGTGGTGAGAAGAAGAAGAATGGAGTACAAAAAACTGAAGGAGAGACTCGGGGACGCAAAGAAATAGGACCACCAGAGAAATGGAAAGAACAGGTGATCAAACGGATTTCAATGATGAAGATAAAGAAAAGAAAGAAAGAGAGGAATCATTAGTCAGGGGAGGAGAAGGTCGAACATGGATTGGAATCTACAAAAGCCAACCCAATCAAATGGGGGAACCTGCTTTAGCGCCGTTGTACTTCAAAGCATGAATGTATGGACAACGGCGTGTATCTTACAGGACAACACAACAAATCTCTCCCCACCCCACACGCGGCCAGAAACTTGGTCCAACAATGTGATGTGGTGGGTATATAGTAGGTTAAATCGTACCGGGTCAATCAAATCAGACGACCTGAAGTGAAACACACACAGTACTCCAAAAATAAAAAATAAAATTATTAAAGAAATAAAAAAAAACCGGTTGAGTGCACATCCGACCAAGCTTGACGATTTGCAAGATTCAGAAATGATCTTGAAACGAGTTTCAGCTTAGTCACCGCCTTCGCTGACTGATCCATACTAGTTAGTTAACTACACCACACACACTAGTAACTACCGGTTACGTTTACGTTTACGCCTCAGGTATCCTTGCCTAAACCCAAGGAGGAACCAACAAACAGGTGTCACTTGCGACCGGCCAATCTCGACCTCCGCCCGACCTAAAGGTACATACAACAAAGTACATACCACCACCTCCTCTTCTTCTATTATCTAACCCCCTCATTGGAGCTTGGTCTTTCATACCCACTTGGAATTAAGAAGGTAGGTCTCTCATCATATACCAGCACTCCCTCCTACATCATTATCAATGCAATGCCATCCAAATAGCAACGATGATACTACAATCAACGAATTACTGACGTGGCTTCTCATAGTAACAACCATCCAATTTCTTCCTTCCCGGAAGAAACCAATTGACCTTGCTTTCCTCTCGTGCTCCGGTTCCATAACGTCCCACAACCGTGAAGATGATTTCCGACGACGATCTCCACCGTCTTGCCGTCTTTCTCGGCTCTTGCGCGATGATGATGATTGTTCTCTACCACTTCCTCGAAGTCAATGCCAAAGATACTGGAGTGGAGGATGCAAGTGAAGTGAAGAGGTCGGCTGCTGCGTCTCAGGAGTCAGTTGCTGCTAGCCCTTCGACAGTACCTGCAGCGGCCGCGGGCGGTTCGTCAGCCATCGGAGGAGAGAAAGACCGGTAGCGGTTTTCTTGACTTCTGTTAGCGTATTTCCTTTCTTTTCTCGGTTTGATACAGTTTGCCCTTGGTTCCGACGGTGAAGACTACGGCACAAGCGCAACGATAATGGATACCCCTATGGTCTTGGTTGGAGCGATAGATACCAGGAACGACAAGCCAGTACTTGATCCGCATGGATGTGGTTACATTGATCCATGAAATGCGTCACTATTGTACAACTCACTAGGTGACTAAGTCTTCTAGCGATGGTAAACTGCCTTGAAATAGGGGTGAAAGATTAATGTACACAGAATATTCGAATCGCAACCAGCCAAACGCCACTTCCAGGAATCGATACCAACCCTGTGCAATGTAGGATAGGTTACGAAACCAATAGATGCAATGGGGTATCACACGTGCTTTTTTAACTATCGATCTTCACTTCGTAGACATCCTCCTCATTGCCCACCCTCTCATTCCGGGCAGGGGTGGCCAACTGACATCCGCCGGGATCCAACCCCACCCCAATCTGTTCTTTGAGCCTCTGGACGGCCTTGAAAATTCCCTGGGCCTTGTCACGTTGTGTATTATGGCCATGCACGCGATTGAACGCTCGGATTGAAGATTGATGAGCGGGAAAGATAAGTGAATCCTCACCGCCCGCTATAGGGGACTCTGGGATAGTCGAAGGAACCGGGCTGTGGCCAGTAGTACCTTGAACTAAAAGCAGAAACCAAGTATTAATAATAAATCCTGTAGATTAGAGATCACGTTGAAAAGCAATCAGCTAGATGCTTTCTCACCAGTTCCAGGCACTGATGGTCCATCACCCAATTTCCAGGCAATGGATTCAAGATGGGTACTTCGAATGTGCTTCACTAGTTCGGCTGCAGGGAACTTGTCATCGCAAGTGCAGCCCTTCCATGCACAGGTGAGGGCGTAAGGTACGTGCACTTTGTAAACATGTTTTGCGAGCATTTCCAGGTTATGAAGTTCAGCGTTACAGCTGTCCCATTCGCAGGAATAAACCTGATAAGGAACCAGAGGAGCGGGAGCGGGAGGGGCCACCACCTGGATTTTTGAGCTCCCTGGAGGGCGTCCTGGCGGGCGTCCCGGCGGCCTTCCAGGTCTCCTCCCAGCCATCTTCCCCGGCTGAATACTTGGACTTCTTGTCGGCACCTGTACTACGGGTCTATGTAAAGCCTGAGGTTTCGTCGGCGCCGGCGACTCTGCTTGGATTTGTTCTGGAGTTTGTGAGTTTGGTTGGTTGAGGTGTTGCACTTGAGGGGAGGGTGGTTGCGCGGGTTGGCTTTGTGTTTGTATGGTTGGCACGGGCGTGCTATGCAAGGCCGGTTCCTTTGGCGGAGCGGAAACTTGCATCGGCGCCCGAGGCGGGTCACGTGGTTCCTTCACACGCTGCATATCGACCATATCCCAACGAAAGGTTTCCAAGTCAGATGGGGTATCAACATGGAGAAAAACATCGCGCAAGCGAAGAAGGTGATGGTTTAGTGCTGGTTCCGTTGGATGACGCCCGGCTGCGATTAACACGTCTCTGGCGATCGTCCGCGGGTCATAACTGAGTTTTACAGCAGCATCTATCTTGTTTAGAGGTTTGACGATGTCCACACGGTTCTTGAGGAATGATTTGTCTGAAGTATCACGAGGGCTGAAGGAAAAGGATGAGAGTTTTTCTTTTGAGACCGCTTTCGGCATGGCAGGAGTGACCGTAGATGTCATACTGTGCTGGTTTGATGGTGTAGAAGCTTCTATACGGCGCCTTTTCGTATCATGACCATAGCCTGGCTGCTGAGGTGTATATGATTTCCATGAAATATTAGAATAGGTGAGGGGCTGGTGAGAGATCTGTCCTTGGGGGGCCACTGGAGCAGTTGATGGCGTCAAGTAAGGCGGTGGTCCCTGGTAATAACCTGGCTTGGAAGCGGCAGTCTCGTACTGAGCGGCTGTATTTGCATAAGGAGCATTTGTTCTCATATATTCTTGGTTGGGTGGGTGATATGGGGGTTGAGGATACGCGGAAGAATTGGCCATGGTAGCTTGCAATGCTGGCGGCGCACCGAGATACGGAGCCGGGTGTCCTTGTACCGGTCCGGAAGCAGGTCCATATCTCTGGTCCCTGCGATACAAGTCTGGTCGTGGATAATTAGAAAGCCAGTCATATCCATCGTTTGACATTTTGAGAAACCGACGCCACGCTCTTAAGGATCCTCAGTTCAATCACTATTCGGTCTCTTAGCATAATATAAAAGGAAATAATGTCAGATCATATGCATTAGTCGGAGTAATAATCATTTTCGCTTGCAATTGATTGGGGTCAGTGTGCTAAACACATACTGTGTATAGATATCCAGGTACAATATGATCCTGTCGCGCATTGCGATGATCTTCCAATAATGGGACGCGATGACTTCTACTGATTCTCACCGCCTACTATCTTTATCAAATGGCACATGCAAGAGCAGAAAAAGTACACGCGCAGGCGGTGTCGCTGAATTTTGAAACCTCAGCCAAGGAAGCCGGCAACCTTCTGGTCCCACCGCAGCCAATGACGGGAGATCCAAACCCTACGCTATGTCACGTGACGCACATTAGCGCTGGCGCACATCTTCCACTGGCGACTTCCCACGACCACGTTCACCTACAACCTCACCCATAGCTCGGCTTAGATCACCAATGGAGGCTCAAGAAGATGACCATCATCTACCAGGAATATGTATGAAGGTTCATTCTGTTGTCCTGTTGAAGCTTCGGTAACCATTCTGGTTCCAACAAGGGCCGTGAGGGCAAGATCATCAAAGTCTAACGGCACTGGATTGTATTCATACCTCCATGAGCGGCATCTCCAAGCTCGAGCTCAAGGACTGCGAGCAGATCCTGGAGCGCGTTGTGAAGGGATATGAAGCTGCCAATGCTTAGTTCCGCTTAGGAGACTTGCTTTTTGACTGCTGTGTTGCAAATAAGGTGATTTGCTGTGGGAATACGTGAGATACTCGATATGAGATACAATAAACCTGCTATGACCAGGCTTTGTGTCTTATGTTTCCCAAGAGACTGGCATACTCTGCACTATAGGTGTATCCCTAGTCGAGCTGTAGCCGCATCTGATGGGTCCTTTCAATGTTCAAAGGTTCATCTCGCTGCAGGTTATTGCTGAGTCTTCAAAACTGCCCAACGCACCTTGATCCGATAACCGCTACACACGTAGCAAAGCAAATTCCCTATCACCCCCTCTATTCCCCAAGTCTTTGTCCTATTTAGCGCCACATTATCTCCTTATCAATCCCGTCTCTGACGGATCAGTGGTTGAAGAGGTAAACGGATGGCGCAGAAGGAATTGCAGCAACCTAAATCTGGTAAAACCAGAGGTTGACCTGCCTTGCTTGCAGACTCGCACTGATGCGTTGGCTAGGAAGCTGCGAGTTTGAGAGTGAGACACATTACTCTGTAAGAAGTAAGCTTGGCTTTCTTGTTATAGTTGTTTGAATGAATATTATTTGACTTGATTTGATTCTGTCCTCTCTGTGCCTTCGTCCAGGTAGTATATGTAAATGGATTTGGTGTATTCGTATTTGCATGGATATAAATAGAATGTCTGCATGAATGTTCTCTGCGTCAACTATCCAGTTTCATATATCTAATCCCTGCACGTTGTCCCGTAAAAGGAAAAGGAATGTATTATGTATATAAGTACCAGCTTTAATAGTACAAGAAGAGAAACTGTGCTAATCCGCAGAACAAACCATCGTGAACGACATCGTAAAGCCCCGGGTGATAAGCTGAGCCGACAATCTTATTGTCCCCGAGCGCATTGAATCGCTGACATCCCATCCCGTACGCAGCAGCGGGAATCATCACGACCAGATCAGACCGGCCAAAAGCACTTTCTCTCACTCACTCGCTATGGCCAACACATTTCCCCCAAGCCGGCAGTCCACATCCCATCCCAATGAACAGATACAGTAGGAAAATAATCACCACCCCCAAAAGCACCATCAACTTAATATTCTTCCACCACATCCGCCTCCTTAAGCCCCGACTCCGAATGCGAAAATCGTGCGCACTCCCACCCAACCGATCTGTTTTATCAACAAGCAGATCAATCCTCTCCCCACGTTCCAACACCCGCTCGATATTCTCCGTCATGATATCTCTCACACTATCGATTTCTCTGCGGGCTGAGGCGAGCGAGTCCGACGGCGGAGCGGTGTTATACGTCTGGAGTAGGGAGCGGAGCTCATTGTTGAACGCAGCGCAACCGTATGCCGGTAGGGCGGCGAAATCAGTGCTGGAGGGTGGGTAGGTGGATAGGAACTTGCGTTTCATTTCAAGGAGAAAGGCGAATGGGATGCGACGGCCCTGTTCGGCGGTCGCGACCACGATGTAGCTTAGCGGAGCGTAGGAGTTGGGTTCCTGGCGGGAGCTGGAATCATCGCTTGCCCCTGTGGGCGAGTCAGCGATGTAGTGCACGAAGAGGCGTTCATGGGTGTAGGTGAGCTTTTGTGATTTCTCGTGCGTGATTTTTGGAAGAATAATGGAGGCGAGAGAGGAGGCGGAGGTTGAAGAGGTTCCGGGGGAGGAATGCTCTGCGAGAATTGTGGTGCGGTGGGCTATGCAAGTACTAGAGAGAGCTCGATATGTTAGTCTTGGATCGAGAGTAGTTATAATGTTTGGAGATTGTGCAATAAATGAGTTATAGACGTACTAGAGCAGGAAGCTCGGGGGCTTTGAGGATGAGGCCATAGTGACTGCTTTTCTGTCCCGTAGTGTAACGGTAAAATGAAGGAGCCTGCTCTTAGAAGAATTGGTGAAAAGTACACTAATTACTTGTTCGTCGGCCTAGGGAATTTGGTTGGCGCCTAGTGGAGATAAGGTTGTAAAGTAAAAAGAGATGGGTGTTGATAATCGCAATGCCGTGACGTCGGCACGCCAAGAACCCCGGATTCGGTCACGTGGAAATACATTCCTACAGAAAGCAGACACGATAACCAAAAATTCTCATTGTTCTTATTACTAATAAAATTCAGTCGTCAATGCTTCATGGAATACTTCTATACATTGACACCGAGTTTATTCGTAAGTTGTATTATCGTTTCGCAGACGGAGGACTGGGACAAGCTGCGTTCAAATCCATTTCCTCAAAATCACTCAAGGGGTCAGACTGGCTCAATGTGTCCATAACGACAGTGTCACTGCCATCGCTGTCACAGTCAAAAGAAAAGTCGTCGTCACCATCGGCGGATGAATTCAACAAGAAGGAACAGTCGTCAACTGCTTCGTAGCCGTCAAGTGGTGCTGGCTCTTGGTGATTGCTGTCTCCACCCTTGTCTATCTGAGAACTAACAGTCATTGATTGTATAGACATGATGTCTGTTCCATAACCATCAATGGTCTTGTGGGACGCTCCTTGGACAGTACTCTCTATCTCTCCGGTGCTGATGATCGAGATTGAATCAGCTGTCGACGCTGCACTACCTAAGTGAACGTCTGGACCTGGTGTAGAGAAACCCCCTGTTTCTAAGATGGGGATATCTTGGTCGGTGAAGACCCCTCCCGTTCCATCATCGTTCCCCCCTGCCCATAGCGGTAGATATTTGAGTTCATTTTCTGTCAGACAGGTAACAGTGTTGGTTCTCTCGATCGAGCCTCTGCCCAGCTCAAACATGTCACTTGCGTGCTTACTCACATATAGCCGTACATCTGAAACGAACATGTCCAATTTGAATAGGAATAGGTCTAGACTATTTGATTGTAATCCGCGTAACCATGTCGCTGGGTCATAGTCGTCCACCACATCCCAGTGACACGCTGCTTGTACTTGGTGAAAGGGGTTCGGGTGGTTCATACGAGAGTTGAATTTGTCCACCATCTCACATAGTTCACTTCTTGTCACCGGCCTGATTTTCGCGTCGGCATGGGCCCTGAAAGCTGGTACCCAATCTCCCAAGCTGGCAATGGTAGAATCCCAAAACGACTCATTGATACCGGGAAAGTGACTTCCAGTAAATGGTTCGTTCATGAGGTTCTTCCAGAATGTCCTGCTGAGTACGCGCTCTGGGTAGCGCATTGAGCTATAGGCATATTTATAGTTTGTCGAACGATCCTTACCCATGCTCCCGAGCACTGCTGGTAGCCAAATGCCGTTTCCTCTCTCCAGCCATTGCACGATACGTGCTCGGACATACTCCTTGCAGGTCTGGACGAGTTCGGTCTTGAGAATTTCCTCCCAATAAGTCTCTGGGGTGAACTCAGATAGGCGCAGAAAGCTTGGCAATTCAAAAAGCCACCTCATTTCAGAGCCTGCTAGATCGATGAATCGATTAATAACATACTCTAGAAAACCCTTGCTGGCATATTCAATGCGTTGGAGCTCGTCATCGTCCAACAACGGCTCCCGGAGACGCCCATGAAAGGTCCATTGCGGTCTACCTGGCAAAGGTGGTTTATCTGAGTTCGCTAACAAAAGCAGTGCCTCCTCCCCGACAAGGACCGAAAATGAGTCACGGCAAAGATAGTCGCGCTGTACCCCACAGGCAATTTTGTACGCAATCTCGGGGTGGTACTCTATGAGACGAGCATTCTCTGAGTCATAAAGCCAGGATAATATGAGATCGCTGATTTTTGGCACCGTGGCTACTCCGAATAGTCTAGCAAGTGCGAAGAAGGTCCAGAACTTGCAGGGAGTGTCGAGCTTAGGTGGAAACCCTTCCAAAGCATATATGATGTGTTCAATACCCCTACGGTGTCGACCCACCGAGTATTCCACAGGAAAACCTGGCTTGCTTCCAGAAGCATTTGGACTGGCGACGGTTGAGGCGAATGTACTCGCAGGCTTGCTTTCTGGCGATTCGACATCATCCTCACCACCCACACGGGCAGCGGGTAAATTCCACCAAGCTGAAGGAGCTTTTGCCCAGTTCCTGATCCCCAGAGGGCACGACAGCTCTGTGAGAAATATAACGGCGTCGTCCTCCACCGAAGGAGGGGTGAGATCGATAACGTACTGAATCCCATGAGTGAGCTTGCCTTTGAGTCCGCGGCGACTGATGGCCCGAGCTTGAGCCCTTGGCTGAAAGAGGTCCTTGAAATAATTAGAGCCAGTCTCCAAAAGTTTTTGGCTATGAATACGGTGGGGAATTGACTCAGATGATCGTGGCAAGGCTGAGGCGCATGATCTCTGCGGGGGAGGATCAATATACAGCAGCGTGTCTGCATTGCTAAGGAGAAGTAATCTTGAACAGGGATTATCGACATTGCTGCCTGGTATGAGAGGATGCATATCATATATCCTTGAGCCCGCTGACAGTTGGGAAGAATCATCCATTGTTATATGCTTTCCCGGTGCTGCCACAAACGAGTATGATAACAAGGTAGTCGGGACGTATCTAGAGTCGGTTGAGAAGTTTTAGTACATCTGTAGATAAAGATAGGGTTAGTGAATCAATCACAGTTGGCCATATTAGCAGTACTAGCCAAGTAAGACAATCACAAGGAGCATGGGATAGAGTAGCCTAATGGTCTTTCCACTTTCCCACAATATGCTCTAGATTATATCTGAGATATGAGTAGGATATAAGCACTGACATTCGTCCAAAGTAAATATACGAGATAAACTCTACGTCCAAGAATAAAAAGATAGAATAGTATGAATGGAACGTACCTAGTAGGCTTCTGCACTTCATTGCGATCTTAGAACAAAAACATTCCTAGTACAAATAATGCCCCTGTCGCGGGACCGCATGTGACCCCATGAGGCTGAGTCACGAAAAGCCTCAGGAACTGAGCCACGAGAAGATGTCTCTTGAAGAAAATAATACTATATACTATCCCATCAACCGGATATCTGTCGAGCCTAGCGCTTGAAGAAGTTCCTGCGGAAGTTGACGTGCGTGTTTATCGAGAGTTATTTACAGCTCAATCTGAGAAGGTTCAAGATGCCAGTTTTACATAACATGTACCTACTAGATAATGAAAATATTTACAAGGAATTTGATACTCTCCACGCGTGGTTTTGCTCCAATAGATAACATGCTTGAAGGCTACCACTATCATTCAAATGTTATGATCTAAGCCCCGTTCAATGCCTCAAAGGAGTATTCCGAGGTGCCTGAGGCCCCAATAGTTGCTGGTTTCTATCAAGGCCCTTAATTCACTAGAAACGACGATTCAGCGATGACCTCCAGGCCAACCATTTGTCAATCCCATAACAAAGACAGCGCCACATTTAGCAGTGAAGTTGGTTCTACCATTTACCATGTTTCACAGGCCATAAGAACGCCTTTCCACTCTTTGTCTTTGTTTGGGCTTCTTTATATCAGACCAACTGCATCGACTCATGGTCTGGGTTAAATCCCCGGGGTCGTGCCGTGATGACTGTCGGCGGCGGCGCTTAGTCCGCCGTGCGGTATCTCTCTGTGAAGGACCACGGCAGCCATATGGGCTCAGACGAAGAAAAGGTAGAACAGATGAACATGGGCCCCAGGGAAAGGAGACCGCTAGAGCACCGCCGGGCTTAGGAGGAAAGAGTTGAGAAAGGGTCACCATTATCTAGAATTCATTATATCATATCATCGCTTTATGTAGAAAACACTGTGCATGTGTGCAGATGGTTTCTCAGTCGTGTATTGGGAAATATTGGGTATCAAAATTTCAAGTTGAATCCAATTATGAAACAGCCACCCAATATTTTTACACAGCAGGGCCGAAGAACTGGATAATATACATCACAAATATACAAAAGGCATTGCATAGAAACACACGAAGAAGTGGCGCCACGAATTCTCAAAACCAACACTTATCTTATAGTCATCCGTTGCGAGGCCTCAGATGTCGCATCTGACGACTGCTCTTCACTGCCGGCCTTGCTTCTTCGAGATCTAGGATGGGGTCTTTTCCCCTTCTTCTCTGTGCGCTTTTTCTCGCGCTGATTTCCTTTCGACTCATCAAGTCCACTCTGGCTTCGGCTTGTGCCTTCACGCCGGAGATCTTTCATCTCTCTAATCACTTCGCGGAACCCTTCCTCGATATTGTTCATGCGAGCAAGGACGAGTTTACTGAGAATATCCTGGCTACTGTGAGAGCTATCTGGTCGGCGCATACCACCCGTCGCATATGCCATCTGGGTTGTCAAACTTGAAGGAGCGCCTCCAACAAAGCCATTCGCGATCGCCTTGTTGTCTCCTATGTCAGATCCCAGGCCATGGAGAATGGGGTCTGTACCACGCTCACTATATCGCCGGTCAGAAACCAAAAAGTGACCGAACTCCGGCACAGACATGGGATTCGAAACGGGCATAGTAACATTTCGACTCCGACCGTCAGTACTGTGCCTTCTCATCGCCCATCGGTCAGCAGATGTAGACCTAGCCACCCAATCCGCGTGATCCGGTGTCTCTGCTCTGGGTCTGACAGGGGTCAATGGTGCTTCAGTTTCTTCACCATTGCTCGTTGTAGATAAGGGCCTGTATAGCATAGTGGCGCCTGAGTAACTCCGGAAATGATGCTTAGCACGCCGAACGGGACTGTTTCTCCGGGACTTGACTTTCGCTGTTGATGGCCGAGAGCTGTAAAATTTCGGCGTTGCTTTACCAGGGCTTTCATCCTTGGGTGTATCGTCGTCATCAGAGCTTTTTCCATTCGACTGATCTTCATGCCCGTCGCTTGTGAGTTCATCATCCCCTTCCATGCCTGTATGTCGCGAAAGCTGCCGTCTTCGCGTCGACGCCATAAAATCCCTTCCAGCACGGGGAGTGGCTGGTGAGGATGCAATATAGGCGACGTGGTCTTCAGGATTTGACACAACGGAGCGGCTTGATTCGGTGAAATCTCGTAAACTTCGGGTGAGCCTTCTGCGAGAAGGGTGTCGTGGCCTTT